TTATTAAGAATTTTTAGAGATATTCTAGGTATGCTGTTTTATAGCCCATTAAATCTTGCTTAATAAAGTGCAAATTGTTGAGAATTTGCGTTGATTTTTGATAATTTTGTTTTTGTTGGCGGTGTCACACATTTTCCTCCTTACAAAGTACATATACGTTCGAATTTTTTTTTTGTATGTATGGATGAAAATAATAACACCATCGGCAAAAAAATATATCAAAAATCAACGCGAATTCTCAGCCACTTGAAACTTGCACTTTATTGAGCTAGAATTTAATCTGCAATAAAATTGCATACTTAGGATTTTTCTGAAATTTCTTTATAACAGTTTGGTTGTTGTAAATATTTTTTTTTTTTTTAATTTTTCTACAAAGTTTGAAATTTAGACTTGTAAGTTACTGGTTAGATAAGAGTAGCCAAAATTGGTAAAAATGTCGTGTATGACGAAGTTATCATCAGACTTCGAATCTCCCATGAAAAATTTAACTTGGATAACGCAAATATGGTTTTAAAAAAATTTTAGCAAAAAAGAAAACGCGAAAATTCGACAAAATTGTAACTTGAAATCCGATAAATTTGACACATTATTGAAACTTATCTTGTACATAAATAGGCAAACATGTTTTCTTTAGAAAGGTGTTTTGATGCTGATGTGCAAAAAAAACACTTAAAAAACTGTTTGAAAATTATAACTACATTATTAAAAACCCAAGCAGAACAGAGATGGCTATTGTCTTTCACAAGTTATTAATCAATCCTTTTCAGATTGGCTATTTCGTCTAGTATGCACATCACTTTTATTTTATTTTTTTCTATTATTCCGCACAGTTGGCTATAGTAAAATTTGTCTGTCTTTTCACGCAACATTGACCTAGTAATTGAGTTGGCAGCAAAGTATACTTACATTTTTCATTCGTTGAACAAATTACTTTATAAATAGTAAGCTAAATATCTAATATGAATTTTCTTAAGTTTAAGACCAAATAAAGGAGTACAAGGAAAACATAAAATCTTATTACGCTGCTTTGAGTTTCTAACAAATTAAGCTTAGCTCTCACACATTTTATTTATTATCATTTATCAAACCGCCTAGCCATCATAAAGTTGGAATTTGAAAAGGCCTTAAAACTTAAAAAAATATTAATGAGAAATCTATTTTTTTTACCCCTACTTATTTTTTTTATTTAAAACATTCAAGTCGCGCGCACATAACTGAAGTCATCCCGCAGTGAAACCAATTAAGTCAAACCGAAACGAGTGCACTGGAATGGCAAGCCAAGCCAAGGCAAGGCAAGGCAAGTCGAGGCGCGGTTGGCATTGTGCCTGACATCGCAACCCCTGGTGCTGGTAGCGCCATTAGTAGTGTATAGTAGTGGAATTGCTTTTGCCAATGGGAAAAATACCGAAATCAAAACGTCTCAGTGCACATGACATCAGATGATTTCGAGAGAAAGAGATGATTTGTGCTGCTATGTAACAGTAATCAATTTTCCACTTGTATGCATCTGTTGGCAATCTGCTAATTAATTGACATTTTAAATTGGCTGGTGTTCGAGTAAATCCGCCCGTCACCGTCCCCGTTCAGACTTCAGACTTCACTCGCCACTCAACCGAACACGTTCGCAGCCGTTAAGGGACGAAAAAGTTGCGGAGGTCGTCGTCGCCGATTGTGGCAACATCATTTTGCAACACTATCCTCGGGTAGTGGGGTTTTGTGTGGACGTTATGGACACGTGTTTGTTTGGTGGACTGATTTTCATTCGTGGTTTCGCTTGTTTCTATACATAAATGTGTATGTGTGTGTGTGTGTGTGTGTGTGCATTTTAAATTTGCACATGCTGAGTCAACTTTAGAAATTATATCAACTTCATTTACAAGGGATTCGCAATCGGTGCACTAAAGGTGAATATGTTTGTGTATGTATGTCATAGACCACAACTGTCAACAAGCCTCTAACAAAATCAACACCAAAACGAGCTTATGCGTGCTGGCTATGTCGAGATTTCGCTTATCTTGTTTTCTCTACCTTTTTACCCATTAATATTTAAATACATCTATGGCGGTTGTGGGCTGTAATTAAAATTGAGTGGTCAAGCATAAAGGCTCCATTTAATCATGAAAATAAAATTAATTTCTTTGCCATCATTTCAATTAAGCTTATTCTCATTTACAGCACAACAACACTGCGGCGTGATTTTTCACTAATTTCTTGCATTTCTCTTTTCAGTTACAGTGATTGTGTTTACAAGTCAATGCACGCCTTTGCATTCGCATCTCTACGGTGAAAAACTAAAGTTTAAACTACAGTACTGGACGGGGATTTCCTTGAGTAATCAATTAATTGCATAACAACACCAATAATTTTAGCTTGGAGATCAAGCGCAGAATAACTTTTGCCTAGAGTTAGTGCTTTTGCCCGTCCAATCAGATATGGGCATTTCTAAATAAAAAATTATTCGAATAAAATTGTATACGTTATATTATTACACACACAAAAGGAAAAGTTTATCAATTCGTCGGAATATTTTATTTTTATTTTTTTTTCACCGCATAACTTCGGACCACTTTAACCGATTTTTGTAATTCTTTTTTTAAAGGAAAGGCATTTGGTTTAAATCCGATCATTGGATCGTGAAGAAATTATGAGAATTGAAGTCGGTTTTGTTTTTTGCTTAAAAATTAGTTATGTTGAATTGGAAAAGATTAAATCTTTTGGTGCACGACGACGAATAGGTATTGAAGATGTCCTTTTATTTAAAATTGTATCCCTAAAATTTGCAAATAATTTTTAAATTAATCATATCTAGACGATTGATTTTTGTGCAGAACACTAAGCCTAAAACCTAACCACTTAACTATAAGCAAAATAAATAAATTTGTATACATTTTCAGCCCGATTATGTCACTTGCTAAATAAATTTTTTTTATTATTCATCAAGAACTTTTTTGTTTTTAAATTCATACTTTTTTGGGATTTTGTCGCACGGTGATGTCAATAATGTAAAGCTTGTTATAATTAACTCACAAAAGTGGTAACCGCATTAAATATAACTTTTAATTCAATTAAGAACTTTGTTTCATTTTATGAAACATGTGAAAAATTTTCCAAAATTTTTACTTTTTATTAACAAAACTAACAAGCATTTCTCTAGGCCAATTTTTGTACATAATTGCATGATTTACCCTTTTGCTTCGCCTATTTTCAAGATAAAAGTTAGAATTTGGCTGAAAAATGTAAATAACCCATATATGTGACTTATGACGGCTAAGAGTTGCCGTTTTGGGCTTTTCCTACCAAAATTGGTAGGTTTTTTTTTCTGTTGGAATGATGGAAGAACGCTTTAAATTTTGTCAGCGCTGTGAGCGGAGAACGAAAACAAACAATAGCAACCGTGTCGGTATCGTTTAGTTTCGCTCATTGAAGGTAACGAAACACAACCGATTCAAATCATTCGGAAACATTTTGCGCAAGGCGAATTTATACAAGGTGGTGTTACGGGCAAATTTAGATTTTCGCCGCGGTACTTCTTAATGTCAAAATGATGTGTTTGTTGTAATATGAATTCGCCTTGTTTACAACAACAAAACAACGTTCATGTAAAAATATCAATAAAAAATCGAATTAATTAAGAAGCTCAAAATTATTATGGAACTTTGTTGAATTTGCTTAACTTTTATACAAAGATTGAAGTTTGGACTAATGTAAGATAACGAGCTATATTTTCATTAAAAAAAAACAAGTAATTTTTAAACAAACAACACAAGCGACTTCAATTCTCATATAGAAATTGATCGTCAATTTCTTCATGATCCAATGACCGTATCTAAACCAAATTAGTATGGGACCACCCTGGTGGTACCACCTTTCCGATAAAAGGGAATTATCGAAATCCGATCAAGTAGTCCAAAGTTATGCGGTAACATACATAAAAAAAAATATTCGCACGAATTGATAAACTCCTCGTTTTTTGAAATCGGTCAAAACTTGCAAAATTTTGCGTCGCTATTTATATTTTCGCCTTTTGTGATGATACGAGGCAATATTCATTTGAAGTTTAAGTTAAAAAAAGGGACTTTATAACTTGAAATTGGTACTTTTTTCAACCAACGTAATAAGGGCTATTTACAGCCGTATAGAGAAGATCGAATTTGGTATTTCCTTTAGGTATTTTTAAATGAAATTTTTTTTTTAGCTTTAAAATCTTATTTTGAAGATTTTTTTTTTTGAAAAAATTAAGATTTTCAGGGGACTTTCTCTGGCAACACTGTGTAAATGGGCAAAAGAATAAACGATTCGTTTGGCTTGTGCTCGGCTGCCGTCGAAACGTATCGTGTATTGTTAGCGCTCGGGAACATTATAAGAAAAGGAACGCAAACTTTTCGTACTTGTTGTGGCAATTTCGTACTCTGATATAAATCCCGTTAAACTAATCACATGTTTTTTAGCCAGATACCAAGAGCAACCCTGCTTAAGTAGCTAAAAGGAAATTTCACCAGAGTTGAGCGTACTTTTGTCGCTCGCTTATAACAAATAAATGCACCCACACCGTAATTGGCCTGCCCACAATTTCCGTTCATAAAATATGTGCACTTCCTTCGTTTAAAGAGCAACACTCTAAACCCGCCTTCTCCCGTGAATAATTCATTGTGGGCTTTCATATCCGTTGGCATCGGCGGTATTGCTGTATTGCTCTGGACATCGAGCCTATCAAATATACATTAATATGTATACAGACAGATGTCAGAGCTGCACATGAATTTTTCATTAAAAGCTGTATATACACAAAAACATAATTTCATATTGTACCATGCGTTTATAAAGAAGTATTTATGAACAAATGCGTTTATGAATTAATAAATGCGATTTCTTTATGAACATAGTGAATATAAGTACTTGTATATGTATATAACTATATGTATATATATATATATATATATATATATATATGTAGTTTTATTTATTCGTACTCCTCGTAATAGCCACACTCGCTCACTCACCTGGTAATTTTATTGGTGTTGGACTTGCCATGTATTCCTTGTGGGCCATTAGTAGCACAATGGCAACAATAATTAAATTCATATTTTCGAATTATGTTTGCAAATTTCTGTTTCCAATACTTCACCGTCTTCTTCACATTCGCATACAGTTCAATAGCCCTCACTACTGGCCGCCGTCGCCAACGGTCTATTATGTCTATATGTAAATGTAAGTGGCGGAAGTGTAACGATAACGGCAACGTTATTGTTGGCTTTATTCGATTCGTAAGAGTTCTACAAAATTGTTGTTGTTGTTGTTTTATATGTTTTTGTTGTTCAATTTGTTGCGATAGCTGTTCTGTGTGGACGCTATCGGGATGCGTGGACAATGCCTGCTGCAGCCTTGGTAATGACGTTAGCACACTCAAAATCCAACCACAAACAAGACACGCTTGACCAGCACAATTTTCATACTTGATTGAGGCGTGGCCGTCGCTGACGTTGTTCACGTTGTGGTGCTGGCAATGGCCAATATCGTTACTACAGCTGCTGCTGCTGCTGCTGCTGCTATTGCTGTTGCTGTACCGGTTGCTAATGTTGCTAAAGTAGCTGTTGGTGTTGTTCGTGCTTTTGATGATGACACTGTTATCGACTGGACGTTGTTCTTGTGTCGTTTGTTGGCAGTAGATTACAACTAGTATATTTGGTAACATCACCGCTTCGAACACGCCAAACACATGTCAAAATTAAAAACAAGTTAAATAACACCCTTTTTTGCTATGTATGAGTTGGTGTAGGTACGAGTACTATTTAAAAAATGTTGAACATTTACGCTTTTCAATTCTTTTAGGAAACAGAAATTTTGTTTAAATATCACAGAGAAAATATCATAGAATTTGCATACAAAAGGTATGTATGTATGTATGTACAAACATTTACAGTCACGCGAATCTGAAATGAAAGATTAGAGAAATTAATTATAAAATGGTAATTAAAGAAAGATTAGTATATATTTCATGTAATTTTAAAAATATTAAAATTGAAAAACAAACCGGTTCATAAAATTTAAATGCAGAAAAAATCGAATAACGCTTACTGTTAGTCAAAAATGAAATATAATAAAGTAGCAAAATTGGGTATGGTTTTCATTTAAAAGACAATTAAATGAAATAAGTTCAAAATCTATTGGTTTAATAGTAAAGCATAAATTAGAGCTAATGCATAAATATTTAAAGTTTTGGGATCAACTAATTTTTTCCTTAGTTGTTAAACACCTTAACCTGGCTTTTTTTTATACGTATTTTCTACAACAATTAAGCGAAAAACAAAACCGTCTTCAAATCTCATAGAAAAATTTAAGAGTACCGTTAATTTCTTCATGATCTAATGATCGGATCTTAACCATATGGGAACACCTTTGGGGTACCATCAGCTTTCCGTTAAAAAAATAATTATAGAAATCGGTTAACGTGGTCGAAAGTTATGCGGTGACATACATAAAAAGTATCTCGACGAATTAATAACTTCCCCCCTTTTTTGAAGTCGGCTTAAAACGTATTTCAATCAAAAAATGAAATATTCCCACTGAAATCAGATGTGGTAGAACAAATAAAAAAAGTAAGTGCGCCTGGGCCACACTGGAGAAGTGAAACTTACGTTACATACATATCAATTTTGACTCATAACCAATATACATACATACATCTGCTTTTGCTTAGGTTATATTTTTTGCCTTTTTTCTATCTATGTTATTCTGTTATTCTGTTTCTTTATCTTCATTTTTATGTTTATACTCTTTCGATAACAAAATCGATAGTAACATCCAATAAAATATCGATGAAAAATTCGATAACAATTTCGATAGCAAAATCGATAACGATACTGGTAGCAAAATCTATTAGAAACTCGATAAAGGCAAATATTGTTATATAAATAATAATAACAAAATCGATAAAATTATCGATAAAAATATCCATAACAAAAGCGATAAATATCGATAACAAAATCGATAAATATCGATATCAAGATCGTTAACATAATCGATAAATATCGATAACTAAATCGATACATATCGATATCAAGATCGGTAACATAATCGATAAATATCGATAACAAAATCGATAAATATCGATATCAAGATCGGTAAAAAAATCGATAAAATATCGATAAAAATATCCAAAACAAAATCGATAAAAATATCGCTAACAAAATAGTTAAAAATATCGATTACAAAATCGACAAAAATATCGATTATTATTTATATATTTATTTATTTATTTAAAATATCGATACAAATATTGTTACTATTTAGGTAAATTTTTTTATAGCAATTCAGATTATTATTTTTTTCATTTTGGGAGAACCTTAAAATTGCTTTCAACTAGTTTCTATTATGTAACATTTATTAACTGGAATAGGAGAATCGAGTTGCTTTAAAATTGATACTTTTACTGCACTTTGCACTAAAAAAAATTAACACAAGCAAAAAAAATTGCAACAATCGGGCTCAACTGGTCTCTTGCCAATTTTATTAGCTTTCAGTAAAAAAAAGGAATCAAATTGATGAAATTGATAATAGGCTAATTTTGAACCACTGCGGATTGGTAGGTAAAAACACGCCAACATTTTTATTCTGTGCTACCAAAACCAGATGCATTTTCGTGGAGCCCCACTTACAACTCGTGAACCCCCATATATTTTTCACGCCAGCGTAGACCCCCGTAGAAGAATTCGATATTTATTAAAACATATTCGTATTATTTTGGCCTTATCGGAATTTTGATGCCTCTTTTGGACTAAGCAGTTTTGCCGTTTTATTGAATATGCACGAGACAAATTTTCATAAAACGAGCGCATACCTTAAAACTTTTTTAATATATGTATGCGTTTTCATAAAAAGTGGACTTGGCAACTTTTCACCCTAAGCTAGCGAAATTCGAATGCCAGTGAGCAGACAATAAAAATAGACATAATATATTTCATAAATAACCCTAATTGGTTAGCAGTCGAGTTAGCCAACAAGCAAATAAAACTTTCGAAAACTATTTCTATTAGTTGCTTAGTAGCCCTAATTAACTTTCTAACTACGAAGTGCCGGCACTCATCACCAGAATGGCTGAAAGTAAAGAAAGATGGACATAGATAATCCATAGAAATATTATTACACATAAATTTGTAAACGAACGACTCACAACAGAACGACAAATAGGTATTAATATTCTGGCGCTTACAGTGTTGCTAAGTGTTTGGCCGAGCTTTTATTCTCCAAACCTACAGTTTAACGCCGCCTCTGAATGGAAATTGGATTTTATGAGAAGCTTTTTCATGGCAGAAATACACTCCGAGGTTTGCTATTCCCTGTTCGAGGGTCGCCCGCTTAAAAAAAAAAACGTTTTCTAATCATTTTCAGGGTTCAAACCCAAGTACCGCGGAGTGGTAGTGCACACCTCTAACCACTCAGCCACAGCAGTCGTCAGAATGAAAAATCCACACACAAAGAAAAATAAATGATTAAATGCATAAGTAGAAATAATAACTGTCACACTGCAACAATTAATTCATTATAGTCAACTCCTTGCCAAGCCTTAGCCAACTAGCCGCCACTTCAAGGCAACTGCACCAATTCTTTGCAGAAAAATACATACTTACATGCACATGCTCATATACTATGTATGAATGTGACCACGAATGCATACATATGTACATATGTAAATGCATATTCATATATGTATGTACACGTGTTGAACGAAGCACAACCAAGCGAGTGTGCCCATCTATTATGCATGTACATACGTGTGTATTTTGTTGGTTAGCCACTCGTGAAGCGTAGATAGACGCGTAATTCCCGTATAATTGAGTACAAGAATAACCAAACGTATCCAACGGATACACAATTCCGCACAAAAACAGCGCACAGCTAGAGCCATGCAATCACACAGGTATAATATGTACCCGGTGCGGTGAAAAGTCAACCCAGTCAGTAAAAATAATAGGTCATTAACTGGTATGCGCTAAATTCGTACAACTTATGCTAGCGGCGACATCTGGCGTCCGCTTCTGGTTCTGAGATCTCAGGTACGAATCCGCTTGAAGGTGGTTAAAGTAAGTTAATCAGACAGTTTCTGCAACTCACTTTCGAGTGAAATTCAACAAAGGTCACTTTGAATACGAATTGGATGGGGTTGAATTTCACTAGGAAGTGAATTGCAGAACCTGCCTGAATGTGAATTACTTCATTTTAATTTTTAATCTTCATTTAAATACCGTAAATGTTTAATTTAATTTAAAGAATATTACTTACTTTTTAAACCAATAAATTTTAAATGTTATCGTGGGCTTATTAACATTTTATTTTTAATATTATTATTGAGCTTTGCACCACGATTGTTTTTTTTATTAGGAAAAATGGAAAAAGCAACAAAGTCTAAGCGGTATAAGTTATAGCAGCTATTTCGAAGATAAACACATCTCCTCATCAGACTTCTTTTTTCTAGACTTCAGCAGGGATCGAACCCGCGTCATCGATGTGCAGAGTCAGAAGCGTTAACCACTCAGCTGCACACATCCCGTTTCTAATTCCTTTCCTTAGTCAACCTACTACTATCAAATGTAGCAGATTTTCCGCTATTTAAACTTGACAGCGTGGTTGTTGTTGTCAATTCTATACATGCATTTGCTGTATTGTATAGTTAAAGGCAGGCACTTCCTAAACTATGTATTTGTCAATGTTATTGTGGCTTATTAACATTTTACGAACTAAAAATTTTTTTAAAGAAAGCTTCAGAAGAATGAAATGCTCAAATAATTAAAATGTACGAAAAATAACGAAACTTAATTTCACTAAAACAAAATGTGATTTAAATGTTCCATTTTATAGTCTATCTTTATTGAGTTAATTATAATTTCAACGGTGTGTGTTATTTTACATACTTTAAATGAATCGTTTCTTGCAAGTTGTATTTAAAAAAAAATTAAAAATTTATATATCGCCAGCTTTTAAAAAGAATGGAAGACGAACTGGTTGAGCTGAAAAGTTAACTGGTAGTATTCTAGTTCACAAGTAACTTTCCCTGCAGGGTACGTACCTATACACAAGCCCATATAAGTAAGTATAAAGAGTCATAGAATGCCAGAATTACTGTGGGGCGGCTGCTGCTGCTGCTGCTGATGGAGCAAATGTTGGCACTGGGTCGGAGAGCAGTAGAACGTATGCAGATTAGGGCGGAACAAACAAAATTTTGTGTTTCGAAATTCTAATGGCGGGGATCTTTGTCTCTAATTTATTTTCTTTTTAATTCAGTTAATACCTTCTACCTCCCATTTTTTTATTGAAATTTAGAGATTTTGGAAAATTCTAAAGAAATCACGTAATTTATCAAAGCATATTTTTTTTAAATTTAGGTGTGCAGTTTTGTGGGCCATTAAATATAGTATAATAAAATGTAAGTATGAAGTGCATACAAAATACCGCTGATGATGGTATTACACATTCGGTTGAAAACAAAGTATGTTCTATAATGTTTTTACATTGAGACAATGACCAACACCTTCAAAGAAAAAAACTTTAAAATTAAGGCTACGCCTTACTAGCTATTTCAAACTAACGCATTATTATTATAAAAGAGAGTTTTGCAAAAGATGATTTCGATAACTTACTTTATTGCTTAGAATTAACAAATATGTCAAAATTTCAATTAAGTTAGGTAGGCAGAAACTATTTACCGATTTAAAATAAATTTAGATTATTCTGCTGGCGTTCAAAGGCAACGATTCACCGCTAAGGGATTTTCGGAATGCAAACATTTTTATCACCGCTCCATCCTAATGTACACACTTGCATACGTAGGTACCAAGTATTGCTGGAAAAGTGTGTGGTATTGGCACAGCTAAGAGAGAAACTTACCTAACAAGCTTGAATCTAACAATGAAATACAAAAAACCATCATCAAATC